AATGACCATCCGTCCCTTTCTGACCTTTAGCCAATTCTGAAGCTGGAGATGATGATAGACAGTTTTTGTTGTCTATTAACAACCCACAAATAAGACACATGATTATTAAGTGGTCCTCATGCCGCTTCACCCTCCTCATCACAACCCGGTCTACTAAAACAGCCCTTGGCTTGCCCAGCTAGTTTATTGCAAGCCTTCAATTTCTGCACATCATTTTCATGTGAGCTCCGCTCACCCATCGACCTTATTCCCTTTTTTAATGCTTCCCCATAAGAGAAACCCCGCACTACAGGCGCCATTATTTAAAAAAATTTCTTTCTTTGGAATATGAACCACCATAGCATTTGGTAACAACTTTTCCGATGCCACCGCACTCTCCACTCGTTTACATGCATGTCCACGATCCCTTTTTCTTTCTCCTCCACGTGTCACCCACCCAACCATGCCATCACCTTCTTCAACCTTTGAATTCCCACTCCAGAGCATCGCTTCCACTTCCGACACAACTTAGATCTTGTTCCAAACACCTTTAGCCAAGATGTCGAGAGAACGTGGAACCGCTTCAAAGCTTGACACCACCAACTATCCTCAAACTTACTACTCTTAAGTCCATCTTCTTTAAGGAGATGAGAACACCTCCCATGGCAAAAGCTACCTTCTCAAAGCTAAGTTTCTACCACAGGTTAAATGGCAATCCCAATAACTTCAGATGAAAGCAGCCATCACCAAAGGTCTTCGAGTTGCAAGAGGGACACCAGTTTTTTACCACTATCGTTCCCTCCTTTGTTTCTACAATAATGAACCCCACTGTTTCATTCCCCACATCTAACACAGCTTTCTTTTCATCGAATGGAATGAGTGACCGTTTGTTTGAGACCTAGTTAAACAATAGTCATTTCATCAAGAAGAATATTGAAGCACAATAGATTTGTCTACCTTTTGTCTCTTTAAACAACCAGCTAGCAGATTTTTTAACAAAAGGAATTATAAAGGCAAAACTAGTTGATATTCTTTGCAAGTTGAGCACGATTAAATATGTGCTCCACTTGAGGGGGAATGTAGAGAAAGTGATGGTAGTGTAAAAAGAAAGTAAAAGAGTGTAAAAGGGATTTTTTGTAATTCCTAAGATTCTCATTATTATAGTGATAGGAGCCATTATTTGGTGTAATGGTAAAATCTCAACCGTCTCCTTCCTCATTCCATGCCTTTCCTCCTTCCCCTATTATGAGCTTCTTTAGCCCCTCCTCCTCCTTACTCCTTTTCGAAAGCTTCAAATGCATGTTTAGCAAACTCCTCACCTTTTTTTTTTATCAGCAACACAGAAAAAAATTCATTATGTGAGAAACATGATTACAACAAGTTGTGAAAGGAACCAACTATAAAAACTGTCCCAAATCAGTACTACATTTGAGCCCAAAGCATGTGTTCTATGTACCCCTTGCTTGGCTAAGCTATCTGCCAAGCTATTAGCAGTTCTCCTCACCCATTTCACTTGGATTAACATGTCCTGTGACAGCCATTTGAGTTTTCTGAATTCATTCCTCAAATGCCATGCCACCCCCTCCCCTTTAACCAACCACTTAATCACAGTTTTAGAATCTCCCTCAATAATCAGCCTTCTAATACCCAGTTCTTTTGCTTTCTCAACCCCAAAAACTGCAGCCAAAAACTCCAATCTTGCCACATCAGTCTGCTCCACAAGGCCAGAGTATAAAGCAATTATGTTCCCCTCTTCATCCCTAATGACTCCCCCAAAACCTGAGGGCCCTGGGTTACCCAAACAGCTCCCATGAAAATTCAGTTTCTTCCAATCATTTATTGGAGGAGACCAAACCTCAACAAATCCTTGTCTTGTAGTTGAGGATGCAACGATGGTACCCCAAGCTCTGAAGAAATCTTCAATCTTGAAATCCGAAAACAGCTTCAAACCTTTTGCCCAATGAGCTACCCTCAATGTTATAGTTTCAACCAAAGCTTTCTTGCTTCATTCCTTCTCTTCAAATATTCTTGCATTTCATTCCTCCCACACAGTCCAAATTAGTGCTGCTCTAGTGCATCTCCACAATGTCTTACCTCTCTTTTTTGTACAGCTAATGCTGGTAGGGCTAAACAAACCCTCCAACCTATCAGGAGAAGACCACCTGCATCCAAAGAGAGAAGTAAACCAATCCCAAAGAAAGCTAATAAACGGGCAAGAGATAAGAAGATAAATCACAGTCTCACCATTCAACTTGCAAAGAACATGCCAGTCGGGGGACAAACACCAGTTTGGTCTCTTCCTTTGAAGTAAATCAGAGGTATTAATGCTTTCATGAAACACTTCCCAGCAGAAGGCGCTAATTTTAGAGGGAATGGGAGAACACCAGACTTCCTTAACTGGGAAAGAATAGGAAAGAAGCAAACTCCTCACCTCCCCAAAAGAACAAACCAGAACTCTTGCCTACTTTGACATCTCTAGCAGCTAAACTCTTGATCTCCACGTAATCTCCTTTTTCTCCCTTGGTGACTAGAATAGCCTCATCAGGTTTCTTTTCTTCCAAACCTTGACTATGTCCTTGATCAGAACCTTGAATTTTGTCCTCACTTTTCCTTTTCTTTCCCTTTTTGTTGTAGACATTTTTGAATTTGTTTGTTGGACCAGACCCTCTTTCAACCTTGAAAAGATTTGTGTAACATGCACTATTTTCAAAAGCAAAAGTTGTTGTTGGCAGGTTGGGAGTTAATCTAGGTCGAAAGAGGAGTGTGATATCAAATGGCTACACGGGTGAGCTGGAAGTGCCAAAGAAAGCTCGAGTTGTAGTGCCAAATAAAGCTTGAGAGTTCACAAGACTCACAATGAAGACTTGACAAACTTATTCGTTTATCCCTTTAAACAATTATGGGAGCAAAAGACTCAAAAAAGAAAAAGGAAGATGACCCAAAAGAAAATGACATAACATGGCATGATTAATGGACTTTGATGAAATAGAATCCAACGCAACTCTTCAAGATTGTACATGAATTTTCTCAAGCATATCAAACAAGTATATCTCATTCACATCATAGCTACTTCCAATCACCTTCCGAGACTTTAGGTCCTAAAAAACACTATATGAGAAAAAGAAGGCTATACAACAGTTCAAAGATTTAGTCAAACTACCAATAGAGAGAAGGTTATTGAAGTTTGGTGGCATGAAAAACAAAGGATAGAGTAAGGGAATCTAAGGTTCTAATGTTTCCCTTGCTAGAGGTGGGAACAAGAGAGCCACAGCAAGGGATATTTTGTCACAACTAGAGAAGAGTTGGTAAAAAAAAAGGTTAGAAATTCTGGTCATGTGATAAAAGCACCAAAATCAATAATCCAAGGAATCCTATGATTATTGGAAATAGTTGCATGATTGATAGAAGCACAAATACCTAAGTGGGCAAAAGCAAATGAAGAAGCATTGCCTAAAGAGTTGAATGCTGCAACAATGGTCTCCAAATGTTTTATGAGTCAGCCATATTTCTCAAACTCTACTTTCACTATATAAGCTACTCCATAGATGATTTCTCATCACTAGACCGCTTATCTCCTTTTGGAACAGTAGCCACATTGGTATTTCCACTCTTCCCATTCCCAATTATCTATTGTTATTATTATTTCTAAACCTTACTGGTACGAGGTGTGGATGTAGTTTCCAATACTCGCATACAATGTCCTTATTAGTAGTCTTTGACTTTACCCCAGCATGCAAAAAATGGTCAATAGGTGCTCCCTAAAATTGTACTTGCCTCCTACTTTCTTCACTACTAACAAGCACATACCTGAGATAATGTTACCTCATCCTTCACCAATATGTTTTGTCTAGTGATGTCATACTCAAGGGTGAACCCAATTAAGAACTTAAAGACCCTATTCCTTTCTACCAGCTTCTTGTAAGTCTCGACATTATTTATGCTTTCCCACACAACAATCACCATCAGATTAATTTCCTGTAATAGAAACTTCAGCATAGAGTAATACATGACTAAAAGCTTCTCCCCTATCTTACACTATTCACATCAGTCTTTAGTTTGTATGCACTATCCACATTCAACTTCTAGGAATTTGTTTCAACTGCATTGTCCCATATCTCCTGAGCTGAACCCATCCATAAGTAATGCTAACTGATCACCGATGTTGGTTGCATAGAATTCACCAGCCACCCAATAACTGTGTAATTTTCCTACATCCATTTCTCATAACTTCATTAGGATTAGTCTCTTGTGACTTTTTCTTACTGCTTCTAAGATAATCAAATTTTCCTCTACTACAAACATGTATTCAAACTGACTTTGACCAAGCCAGATAGTTGGTCTCATCCAACTAAATTGTGGTCACAGCATTCAACAGAGGATTTACAAACCCTGCTGGACCAACTACGGATTCTATGTTCTGCTCCAATTCAGTTCCAATTTGTTCCCTTGATCAAAAAAACTCCAATAAACAGTACTCTGTTGTCAAACAAAAGTCAAACAAGACCTAAAGCACTTAACTCCAATCAAACAGAGTGCTAGTTCTAGGGTTTCACACAACCCTGCAATCCAGGATAGAAAAGTGCAGATGCTCCTACCAATGACTTCAAAAGTCTTTTCAACCTGGATCAATCTCAATCAGTTCCCAAATAAAGACCACCAACCTTGGTGTTATTGATTTGAACACAATTCTCTGCTCTTTGCAAACTCCAATTTTTAAGAAACTAATATTAATTTCAGATCTTCACTAGCATCGTTATTTTGTCAAATTGAATAAATAGTATTATCTTGGAAAGCTTCAATATATACAGAAGTAGATAATTTAGCAAATCCATGTTCAGCATTACCGAAAATTGAGAAACAAGCTAATGAATTACAAATGACCTGGCCGTAGAACAAATATACCACAAATCTCAGTACTACTCTGACTTAAAATATGAGAAGTATGAGAAAAAGAAAAGGAAAAAACAATAAAGGAAAAGAGAAGGAAGAAAACGCAAAAGGCCTTTCTTGGTTGTCCCTACCTTTGTGACTGCCATCTGCTTAGATTTTGTTGATATAGATTTATGTGACAAAGTTCTAGAGAAGCGTGGAATCCCATCATATACTTCTTCATTGCTTCCATATGCAGTCTTCATGTCAGGAAATGAAAAAGGTTCCCTTAATTGCTTATCCATGTTTTCCCTCCCCGGAGGGGGAGTCAAATCAGTACCCATATTTGATGACAATCCAGGAGATTGATAAACACCAGACTTATGATCACCATGACCATTGACATTTGGGAAACTTCCACTGGAGGCATTATCAACAGTTGATCTTCTCGAACAAAGCCCTCCCATGGTATCGATGACAAAAAATAGTAGCTCACTTCTTCGTCTAGCTTCCCATACAAAAGAAACATAAAATTATATATCAATAACAGTAACTAAAACCAAAAGGACTTCCTAGCACTTAGACTGAGTTATTGACAGGAAATGAATTCTACCCAAAAAAGATAACAAATGAAAGCCAAGCTTTCCTCAATTGGTGAATTAAAAAACCATGCAAATATAAGTTCTGGGTGTCAATAATACCCTGCCCAGCTCCAGAAATTTGATCCCGTGTTCCACCAGAAAGCTCCACAATTTCTATTTTGGTCACTATTGTATCTCCAGTCCATCAAAATCAAACTGCAAACTAAAAACAGCACATATTATAATTTAATAACTTCATAGACTCCCTCAAATCCCTACCCATTCGAATCGATGAAGAAAAGAAATAAATAATAGTAGGAACAATAAGAATGAAGGGAAGATATGAACCGAAACCCAATTAACCATGACAGAAACAGCATACCTTCCAAACTAAAAACTATTTAGAGAAACAAGGGAAACCGAAACGGGTAACAACAAAGAGACCAAAAATAAACAAAACCACCCTCAGAACTTAAGATCAGTCACTGAAAACCAAAGCACAAGCACAGTACCATACATGTAAACACGTACCCACATGCATACATCCACGAAATAGATTAAGTAAAAAATTGAAGATATGCAGAAATAAAAGTGAATGGAAAAGAAAATAATAAGCACATAAAGACGGAAAAGTCTCACCAGGAAAGCACAACAGAGGTGGATCGGTAAAAGAACTAAGAACCTAGTAAGAAAATACAGCTATTCTGGTCTCTAGTTCTGCTTCATTTCAATAAGAGAGAGAAAGAGAGATGATGATGATGATGATGATGATGATGAAGACGAAGAAGAAAGAGTATAGGTCTTGGACAGCGAGAGTGCTGCAGCAGAAGGAAGTCCACACCCACCAAAAATAAATTTAAAAAATGAAAATAAAGAATCCAACCCCACTGACAGAAGGAATTCGCATTTGCTCACGGAGGGCTCCTCAGAGGAGGACCAGGAGGTGGAGGGGGAGCTGGTCAAACCCTTTCCTCTTCACCAAATCTAACCATGGTTACGTTCTAACCTCTCACAAGTCTTAAGAAATAAGAACACAGACAAAACACACTTGTTTTATTAAAATCTACCAAATAATTAACTATTGATCAATCTTTAATATTCTAACAGACTCTTATACCATTCACACGCCACCTCAAGCCGGCGGTCTCCTCCGAGGGCCACCAGGGATGGCGATGACTTGGACTCAAGAGACGTACATCAACTTCACTCGTCGGTTTGGCCCCACCAAATGGATTGAACGGTTCAGATCCTCCGGATTATAAAACTGTGATAGGTAGGTATAATTGAATTGCCTCTCTTGATTAATTGTTGGTCAACTTTGTTTTGATAACTATTGTTGGTCAACTAGTAAAGATGGAATAAATGCATCATCTTTTCATGAAAGGATGTTGCAGTGTGGAATCAATGTGGGACGTCCGATTGGTGGGCAAGTATGGTCAACCAAGTGGGTTTGGTCTGGCCCAGCGGTTACTAACCATTGACCTTGGGCAAGTGGTTTACACGGTTAAGGAGAACAGCATGTTGGTTTTCTTTTTCTTTTTATTTTGGCATTCCACATTTCCACCGCATATTAGGTTTTTTTAGAGCACTGTATATTAGTTAGGTAGCTGGTTTTTCAAAAAAAAGTCGATGATTGTAAAGTTTGAAGAGCAAAATATGCCTTGATGACTTGATCAAAGAGGAGTCAAAAGAAGCATCTTATGTGGGGAAATGATCTATCTTTAGGTAAGAAATGCAAGAAAATTAGGTAAAATAGTTAAACCTCCCCTAAGTTTTAAGATAAATACTTATATCCTCCTTTAGTTTCTTCTAGGACTTAAACCTCCCTGTACGCTAGAGATGGCAATTTGACCACTAATTTGGGTTTGGGGGCGGGTTTTTTGACCACTAGTCACGGTTTGGGCGGGTTTAGGGGAAAACTTGAAACTCTAGGGTCGGGGACAGGGTAGGGACGGTATTTATCCACCCCACCCCAACCCCAACCCTGACCCCACCCCGACTATATTGTATAACATAATATATACTATATTATATTATATTACATAATATAAAATAGTTCTAGATAGGTTTAAAAAAAATAATTAATAAGTATAGAAGTAAGAATCACCGGGGTTAGGATTTTTAGCCCGTTGAGGTTCGGGGCGGGAAATTTGAATTCGGGGTCAGGTACAGGGCAGGCAAAACCCGACCCCGCCCTGCCCCATTGCCATTCCTACCTGTATAATACAGACTTGACATAATTGATGAAAAGACCTTTATACCCTTCAATATTCTTTAAATTTACAAAGAAAACCACAGGAATATAACCCAAAGTAATATATGACTTATATAAAGAATGATGTCATGGCAAACAAAGGGAAGTAGAATCTAAAGACTCATTGTCAAATTCGGTATACATTTGATGAATAGTAGGCTTGTTGGAGAGGAAATTGTATAATTGTTTAAATTTTTCTCCCTTGTTCTCTCTCTCTCTCTCTCTCTCTCTCATCCATCTATAACTGTGAATTGAAATCAAAGGTGCTAGTACAAAACCATAGGAGGTTTAAGCCTCCAACAGCTCTCTGGCCCAAAAGAAAGAATAGTGAAGGGAAGAAAGGGTATATCCACTTTTTGGTTTGAATTTGTATCGTCATGGCTTTGTGGATCAAACTTAAAGCATAGTCTTCTTGTTTTTTGCTCAAACTCACTTTACTAAGAAACAAATCTCTCATATCTTTCCATCCCATTGCTACCTCTTTTGTTTGAGTTCGACATCTATAAGTGATCTCTAATGGTGTTTTGATGGTCAAGTGTCATATTCAAATGAGAACACGACAGATTAAAATCATTTTATTTTTAGCAATCTATTGCATTCTCTTCCCAGAAACATTCAAATGGAAACTTGGAGATCGATGTGCTCTTGTTTATCTTCATTGGGTTTCTTATGTCTTTCATATGATTTAGAGATCTTTAGTTTCATGATTCCTAGTGAGAATACCATGCCAGTATAAGAGTTTTTTATAACATTTCTTTGCTTGGTAGCAAAAACTGTTAGACATTGTATGCCCTTAGCTCCAATCAGATTGATGTACTTATGACATTTATTGTAAATGAATAAAGTACGTATTTGATTCATGTTATTGTGGTGTGTTTTTGTGTAATACCCTTAAACTGGACACTTATGAGACTCGTATTAGTTTAGAATGTTCGCAGCCGTTGGATAAGTCTGGGGAGATTTATCCTGTTAAGGCTGACACTGATGTGCCACCAAGTGTTGGGGTGGTCTGTCTCAGCTGCCAGGGTGAGACCTGAGGTACATGCAGTGTAGGTTTACTTGTAACCCGGAACCGGACCAGATTTCCAGTATTGCCCTGGACCTTAGTGATTAGTGGGCAAAACTGGAAAGTTACACTTGACCCCTAGGCTCGATTATAATACTGCACTAGGTGTCGAATTGGACTGTCTTTGATATGCCAATCAGTGAGATCCTTAGCGGGGGTCAAAACCTGGGTATGTTAGGACAGTCCGAGAATTCATCTGAGTGGGTGATCATAGTGACGGGATCAGCCCCTTTGTCGGACATGTGAGTAGAGAGTGCAGCATTGTTCCTTGTAGCCGAGGGAGAGGTCCTCTCTTGTCGAGCAGTGTATGATCATTATGGGCTGAGAGGTTAAGTGTAAGACCATTAAGGGTAATACCTAATGGGCTAATCATGCATCTGCCCACAGTCCCTGGGTTTTTATAAGGTGGCTTGGCCCAGGGACCACTTAGTGTAAGTGTTGGGCCCATTAGGAGTCCATGTGATGGGCTTCAGGGGGTTCACTGTCTTTTCAGTGAATTTGGCCAGACCTCGTAACAGAGGCAGGGCTGAACCCATGTGGCTGATGTGTACATCAATGTTTGGGTCCCACGCCATACAAAGAAGCCCAACTGGGCAGTAAGTCAAAAGCAGTTTGAGCACTTAGACTTATTGGGCCTAAAGCCCATTTCAAACTGGCCTAGTTTGACTAGTTAAATAAGGGGGTGGATCTAAGATTAAATCAGTAGATAGGATAGGGTCTTACCCTATCCACTCAGAGATTTCGGATCTGAATTCAGATCTGGAAACCTCCTAATGAGATTAGGAGAGAGTTGATCTAATCTGCAGATAGGATAAGGGTTTATCCTTATCTCTTAAAGAGAACTCCTTATCCAAATACAGATTTGGATTAGAAAACTCCTAATGAGATTAGGAGCTCTCTTTAAGGCTATAAAAGGAGGAGGGGGCAAACCATTCAGTTCATCCTTAGCATCCCAAGCTTCTCAGAAATCAGATCTCAGAGCACCCAGAGAGAAGACAGCAACAGTGTGACTGCGCCATCTTTTCCCTACGTTTCCTCCAGTTGCTGCCATACTGCTAGTTCGATCTCCTTTCTTTGTAGGAACGATCAAGAGGCATCTTGATATCAGTCTTTGGAAAAAGGCAGATCAGAAGTTGTGCTCATTGCCTCCATCGAATTCTTGCTGAAGAATTCGGTTCGTTGGATGGACGCTGCTATTTCTGCTCCACCGTTCACTGTGTCATATTCAATGGAAGCAGTCTTTGGAGTCCTTCTTTGAGCGTGAACACTTTCATTGGGAGATATTGCATCTTCGTATCAGGTATATTCCTCTCCTACAGTTTTGGTTCAGATCTAGTTCGGTTCTTGGTTCAAGATTGATCATTGAAAAATGCAGTTTTTCTAAAACAGGGAGTGTGATTCCTAGATGGGAGAGAGGAAATTTTTGAAATTTCGCCCTACCTTCCTACAGAGTTTGGCCATCCATATGATGGATCTCTCATCCCTTCAAAAACCTATCTAGAACAACAAATAAAGGGGTGACAATGAAGGTCAAATTCGGTTTTAAAATAAATTGGCAGATCTAGAAGGAATTCTTAAGGAGGGGATGTTTTTGTCCAATGATGTCATTCAATAAGGGAGATCTTAGTCCAATTTAAAAAAGGAGGGAAAGTTTCAATATTTAGAAGAAATATTAAGGGAGGTTTAAGTCTTTAACCAAGGAAATTTATTAAGGAACGGAAACCTTAAAAATGAAAACAATGTCCATCAAGAAAGGCGAAAGGTGCTGTAAGAAACTTCGACAACTAGTGAGGCAAAGAGGTGTAGGTAAGGTGGTGGCTAGGCTAGGGAGGTGGTCTCTTTGAAAGACAGAGAAAGGCCGAGAATTGAGAATCAATTGGGAGGTTAGGGTAAAAAGGGAGTAATGAGACAGTCAAATGGGAAAACCAATGATAAGGGTAATCAGTGATTGAACGAATGAATCTTGTTATGGAAAGGATCTCTATTTATGGGGAAGTTCCCGAGATCCTGAAAAGAAGGAACTAAAGGCGTTTGTCTTCTACTAGGAAAGTGAATATTGAATTCGCCACCAACCATTAAGGGCATTGTTGGGGTTTCACCACGTATCCCTATGAGGATCTTTGATAGCTATGAATATATAACTCTAGCAAGTGTACTAGTTATCAAGTAGTATAAAATATCGTTCCCACGGGGATTTAACAAAATAAGTATTAGAACCACAATCTTCCCTAATTATCTGGACAACCGAAATTCAGATTTGAGCAAGAACTATTGAAAATAAAAATTAGCATAAGAAAATAAAAGCGAAGGTGATCACTAATCGAATCTGCAATGGATGGAATCGCTAGGGCTTTTGGTCCACCTAACCAATGCAATGAATATTGAAGGGTTTGATTAACCAAGATTATTTGTCATTCCCATAAGCTGAGGACTTCCCAAATTTATTTAATATTCTCTCTCGAGATATACTAAACCTACGCCCATCAGGTAGCCCTTCGATCTCTCGAGTAGAACTCTCAAGATGGAAGTGCACTAAGTCCAAGAAAATCATGAAAATCAGATGAATCATGTATATATATCTCTATATACCATTCAATTCACACTATGAATTATTCAGTCGATTATGTGAAATCCTCTCTCGATTCATTCACATAATTCAAATCAATTAAGAGGTGGCCAAGCTCTTAATTGCATTAAGCGCAATAATTCATAG